TCGCTGCGCTCGCCATGTTCTCCCCCGCCACAATTTCTTGGACCCCCCCCCCCCTTTTGATATTCTTAGATCCACCCCTGCAACGTATACATACGTAAAATAACTTGTCTCAGTAAAATTTATAATACTTCATTGCGTTTAGACTACATTATTTGAGACGATGTTCAAAGGAGGGCCACCAGACTGGTGCCTGCACTTCGGCACCTCGGCTAACCAGAGAGATTGGAGCGCCTGAACTTGCCTAGCTTATACTACAGACGGGCAAGGGGCAACCTAATTGAGGTGTATAAGCATCTCAAGGGACATTACTCAGTCGAGTGTCCATACTTGGAGCTGGCGGACGCTTGGTCGCTCGCCCCACAATGGGTCACAGCTCAAGATTGAAGAAGCCGCAAGTCCAGAAAACTGTGAGGACAAACTTTTTCGGAGTGAGAGTTGTGAACTCTCGGAAGAATCTACCAGAAAGTTGTGACGGCACCGGGTGTGAGCTCTTTCAAGACAAGACTTGACCAACACTGGAGCAGGTTCAGGTACATTCAGGAGCCGGTGCATGCCCAGTACTTGCCAACAGTGCGTAACAGAGACTTGACCGATCGCCCAAGCGGCTAACAAGCCGATCAGTGGTGAAGATGATAAAAGTAAGTAAAAGGTAATACTCATAGATCATCAATGAAAAAAAATCCTTGTTGTGGCTTCATCAACGATGTATTGCATGATTGTTATTATTAAAAGTTTAGTACCAACACATTAGAATACTGCACTACAAATCGTGTTCACCTTTCTGATGCAGATCTTATACTTTTACAAATTCTTGAAACAAGGGAGTTTGTATTCGTACCACAACTTCATCAGGATGGTAAGTCTTTCTAGAGGTAGGGTACCATGCCTGTATACAGTAATCCAGGGGGGACGTACAAGAATCTCTCACCACAATAAAGTTAACTCTCACAATTTTCTGAGCTTGAGGCCTCTTTAACCTGAAGCTGTGACCATTAATGGGAAGGGCATCCGCGAGTTCCAGCTTTGAACACTCGACTGAGCAATGTCCTCTGAGGTGCTTATAAACTTCTCATAAATTACCCCTTGCCTGTTTATTGTACAGCTAGGCAACTGCAGGTGCTCTAATCTCTCTGGGTACCTGAAGTGCTGGAGTGCAGGCACCAGACGGGGAAGCAACTCACTTTTGAAGAGCGTTAAAATATATATTCAGAATTCTTAACGGGAGAAGTTATGTGATAATGAAGGAATAAAAGTTAACGATTAAGTGATATCAAATATACGCTATGCAGATGCTGCTGCTCTTATCACAGATAGTGAAGAAGCATTACAAAAACCCATTGACAGACTAGTAGAAAAGGTGAAAAATGTGGTTTAAGTTAATGGTGTAAAACGAAAGTAATGGTTGTTTCCATATTGGAAACAAATCCTAAAATAACAATTATGGTAGACAACAGGGAACTTAAACCAATGGAAAATTTTGTGTATTTGGGAAGTAACATGAGCTGTGGTGGTAGATGTACGGAAGAAATCAAAACAAGAATAGGGCAAGCATAAACGGCATTTAATAATGTAAAAAACCTAATGAAAATACACATTAACTTCAATTCGAGAAAAAGGCCTGATATGGCAAGGACAATTGTATCAGTCAGATGCGTGGACACTCGGCAGACACCAGAAAGAGGTTGGAGGCCTTTGAAATGTGGTGTTATGGGCGAATGCGAATAATCCACACTGACAGAACAAATGAAGAAGTACTAACATTAGCAAAAACTTCAAGAGAAATGCTTGAAATGTACAGAACAAAAATTATACTTTGTTTATATAATTCGGGATGAAGGGATAATAACCGAGATATTAATGGGCAGAGTTTAGGGTAGGAAGGCCAGGGGAAGGCAGAGACTGGGATGGATGAATGTAATTAAAAACTGGGAACCCAGAGAGATACAAAACCTTGGAGGATTGGTAAAAACAGAAGAAGAAGAAGAAGAAGAAGAAACGATATAGGTATGTTGTGTTATACTGCCTGACTGGGGTCACTAATACTAAGGGTAAATACTTAACTCTAATCTTAATTTCTAAGGGTCGCTGCCACCAGACCCCCTCTGGACAGCATGTAGCTCGTTAGGTAGCGTGCAGAGTGGACTAGGCATTGGGCTAGGTTTTCCATTGACCAGATCGATAAGGGGAAAGAAGGGTGAAACCATAACACGTCTTAATTCATTTATTCCTTATAAAGCATACTGGTAAAAAACATATACATGAATTGGCCTTCCTCAGAAGAACAACGAAAATGTTGGTTACCCAGATGGGCACCAGACTCTTACATTAATGGCGTGTCATCCACCTACTTATTGCATAACAATCTGTGACCACCTTACCTCGGTCATTCCTTCTTACACTATCCCTTAACACATCAGACTGCTCCGCCTGTATGGAATATAGCACCGTCGGTTATCATACATACTAGCACCATCTCAACACACATGTTACACTCCATACCTGCAAGTATGGGACTCCTTGTGACTTTTAGGTATACACAACAGGCACCTCGTTCGCACACCGCCCTCGGTGGGTAAAGACGAGGGCTTCACCTAGAGACATACCAGCACTATTTCTACGCCTGGTATTATACTGTAGGTCGCTCCAAGTGACGACTGCAGAGTTTCTCACGGTCTCCTTATTTGTGACTATTCATTTGGAGTGGTGTGCTGGAAATCCACAGGTTCACAGTGGATTGGCATAGCTAGGAGTAGTCACCACCTGTTGGGACGCTCATATGGATAATGGCTGCCGGGCAGCAAGGCACTCCGACCACATGGCACCTGAGGTAACGGTAGAACGGGGGATACTGAGGGCAGTGCCCGCCCCTCCTCACCGAGTAGGCCTACAGTTTCCAATCTTTAATTTTTACTTTTATTTCTTACGGTTCTCACCTGAACACTTTTCGGAATATTGTCACTCATGCCGTATAAACACATATTTTAATCCTAACTTACCTTCTAAGGTAAGGTCTTGGTTTGCTAGTTTCGTGGGTAAATTCATTGGGTTATAATATCAACGCGCACACCCGAGGCGGGTACATGACGCGCCTTGAAACAAAGGCTGAATGATCATGGCGGGGGTGTATCAACTTCACTGATCACTGTACCTGTCGTGGGTATATGTCACGTGAGGATACGAGGTGTATTAAGTTCATACCGACGCTACAAGATATTTCCTTTCAAGTATAGTTTCTGGATCACTTCCGACACTTCACATAGTTCTGATACCTTTATCCCTTTTCCAGATCATTGTTCTCATGTATTTTCATATGATATCTGTGGAAGTTATGTTCGCTACACGTTCACAGACGTAAATAGTATGACCTTCAACCATGATTCACACTTAGTCCTACAGTACACTAGTCCGGCTCAACTGGACTTTAACATTCATCTTATGGATACCCTGAGTTCTCCTGAATGCTATGAATACATACAATTAATATGATATAACTGTACCTGGGTACAATACAACACATGGTCTAGTAACATTGAGTAGGTGAGTTATCCTTTATCAATGTTTCCCGTTTTCTGAGGTTCTACAAGCGCGGTGGATTTGAATGTTGTATAGCGTAATATGAATTAAATGGGGTTTTTAGGAATGACAATGATGTGCGCAGTACAGTGTTGTCAAAGCATGAGAAACAATCGAGACCCTGCAACTGTGTGTAAATGAGGCAAAAAGTTCGGCAACCTGGGACTTGGTCACAATTTTTTTTATGCCATATAGCAGCAGGGTCTGCCATTAGACAATGCATTATGCTTCCATATCTTCCCAGACGGTAGTGCCTTCCTGTTTGATAGCTGCCTACTACCTACCTGCTGAAGAAAGTCTCTTATCCACGATAGGACGTTCCCCTGAATTCCGGACCCTTCCACTTTCATTTTCAGCCTTTCGTGTGGTACGCTGTCGAAAGCCCTGAAAAAGTCTAGATACTGTGCATCTGTAATGCCACCACGCTACAGAACCTGTGTCCACACATACATTGCCTGAATTGTGTCAGCGTCAAGAAGGCGTATAAAGGCATAAACCGTGATGGCATTCCCCTACCTGTTCCGATAAACAACTTGAATCAGTTACACTGTAACCTACATATTAATTTCAAAGACCATACTGGGTAACTTACATATCCGACTGTTCCACTTTACTATATTGTATTTGAGTAATCTACCTGTACTTCCGATGCTTTTATATCATATAACAGATTTTCAAACGTTTCAGTTGAATCGATAATACGAATTGAATGTTTGCCTTACTCATTTAAGCTGCACTCGCAGACACACCGCTCGAACTGCTAATAAGCTTATAAGTGGCGGAAATTATTAAAAAAAAAAAAAAACATTCAGTAATATTGAGGCCAGAGCGGAACTTACGTATTTAGGTCAGTAGCAAATGCCACTACCAAGATACATGAGGGAGGTATTCATTAACGAAAGCTATCTGTCACAACCTTGAGAGCAGACAACGACTATGAACAAAAAATACTGTACAATGGTCATCAAGCAGAGTACAGCGGATTATCAGATAATCCGAACTGTTTTAGACAGTACGTACTTAACCAGGAATTTAATAAACGTATTAGCTTATTGCACTCTGAGGATATACTTCCCATCTAGATATCTCGAGTGGAAACATAAATGAGAATACTGCGAGACTAGTAAGATAAAATCGAAGGTGAAGGAGACGATGATCGGCCAGGCTATCACATGATGTTGTTGGTCCAATGAGCGGCAGCTTTCCATCAAAACAAATCGTGACGTCACAAATTAAAGTTGTCTTTTATGCTGAAAATTAAATAAATTCGATATATTAAACTTAATTATAAAAGCGCAAAGTACTGTTATCAAAATTAATCAAATATATGAGCTGTAAAAAAACATATGACAGTGTAAATAAGTGATACAAATAAAGATAATAGATGGGATGAGAGAGTTATGCGGTAAGGTTGGCGAGCATGTTGGTGTACGATCAGCCGTCCCAGGTCTGTTGGCCCCAGGAGCTGGCGATCAGGTGTTCCCGGCACCTGCACCCTCGCTTGTTGATCTTCCTCTCCTGCCCACTAACGCAGGAATTTCTCTTGTGTTTGAGATAAGTGAATGAGTAGGTGAGTCCTCCTTCCTTTGATAGGTGATATTTGAAGCAGGGAAAATATGAAAAATAAGAAAACTTGGTCACTTGCAGAAGCCCATTTCATTGAAAATGGAAGCTGGCAGTCTTAGATAAGGTGCAAGTATCGTCCCTTGGGTGCAGTTCTACGTATATCATTATGGATTATAAAGTATTTGCTAGGCTGGTTGACCAGTTAAAGCCTTGACGTAGATAAATCTCTATTGTGTACGTAGAGTGTGATCAGTACCCAACCAATATTTTAAATATAATAATCATTATATATATATATATATATATATATATATATATATATATATATATATATATATATATATATATATATATATATATATATATATATATTTGCGCTATTATATGGGCTCCAGACAAAAGCCCCTTAGTTAAAGTGCAAAGTAGGTTAGGAAAGGTATTGCTGTTTTATGGTATAAAAAATGTAATATATAACACACCAGAGAGGTGTTCATAAACTGTAAATAATAAATAATAAAAATATGCTTTCAAAAATTTCCATTATTATTGTCCCAGAGGGCTTTTGTCCTATACTCACTACAGTATTATTATACACATTGTAATGATGAACCCGTGTGATTAGTGTGTGGTAACATACAGTATTAAGGTAATACTTAACATGGGAGTGCCCTGAGCACTAACTTTAGAAAATATTTCCAGGGAAGATTAAGGAGTTCTTGCCCTGTAAAAGATTAATAGTGCACGAGGAATACATTTTGTATAATATTGCTTTTATGATATTTTACACCAAGCTCCACCTGCCGTGTTAGTATATAACAATATAACTGTAGGTTAATATTTTGTAGTGTCTGTGTGGAACTTTATATTTATTCTTATATAGGAACAGAGCAAAGGGGGGGGGGGGATATTTGACCAGTATCCAGCTAAATAACCACTGGTTAATTGACTGGGACTTAAAATAAAACAAAGTACTTCTGGCCACAGAAAATTCTTCATATTATTTTATTTATAATTCAAACTATCAGAAAAAAATTAACAAGTATAGAAATAATACAAGCAAAATTAAGGATACAAGGAAGATAAAATCAGATTAAATTCTAAATCACTTTAAGAGAACTAACACCTCAATGTTTAACAGTTATGATGCTGTTTAGCTATCAGGTATAGTATAGTTCTAATAAAATATCGACCTAACCTACATTATATATGTTCATGAGAGAAGTGTGACATCTCAGAGTATCAGAAGACGATGAAAGAAGTTACCTGTAGTGATAAAGCATTCAACATTTAAATAATAGTGTAATGCCCACAACCATCCAGACCAAATTTTCATTAAAATTATAGAAAAATCATATACAATTTCCGTGGGTCCCGGTGAAATAGCAAGTGGCTATTCGACCAGGAATCCCGGTCAAATATCTACATAAAAAAATACACTATCATTTCCGTTGTATGCCTTACTCAGCCAGTCAGTGGAAGTGTCAATATCACGCAATACTCGTGCACATGTGCTCACTCTTGTTTTCCTCGGAAATTTATATTGCGAGTTTATTTTTTTACTTTTCGACTTATGGTTTGGTTTCTTTAGGTTTCTTTGTTTTTTTCATTTGTCTTGTTGGGTTAGGTTACGGCAGCAGTCGAGTGGATACACCGCTCATTTCCTGTTCCATTTTATCCAGCTGTAAATAGGTATGCAGAACCTAAGTTTACAAACTTGAGGAAATGAACGTGGGTGAGAACAGTACCGGTCATGCTGCCTCCTAATGGGCAGTCATGCTTAAGGAACCCGCTTTCACTTTTCAATGACCACAGGAAATTTTGGGGTGATAACCCAGACGACAGATTTTTGGTATTTGATAAATTATAAGAAAAAAATATTTGATGGTTTTAACATACTTTTGGCTATACCAAAACACATGCTGTGGAAACAAAAATCCACACTTTTTCAGTGTGTGGTAGTCTTGGAAGCACTTGCCCAAATAGAGGCTACAATTGGAATAGGAATACTGCGCTACTGCACAGTGTTTTGCCACAGACGCCTCGGGCAAATTCACATTTGTGAAAGGCTAGTTAGGGTAGGGTAGGACCTAACCTATTAATGAGAGTGAATTTGATGTGAAATCCCCATAGGTTTTTGTAATCATTTATTCACAGATTCTTATGTACAGCAGTACAGCGTGATACAGATGGCTGACACAGGTGCAATGAGACAGTGACCATGTACGACGGAATGAGATAAAGGCAGTTACAGGAAGGAGGAGTTTTACATCAAATTCACTCTCATTAATACAACATCTTAAATGTATTGTAACTTGGACACTATGCAGAATCTGACATTTTACCATAGAGACATTGTGGTTTAGAATTACCCAAGGATTTCATCCTCCAATTTAATGTACAGTAATCCCGCCTTTTTTGCGGGAATTACGTTCCTGAAACCCCTGTGAAAAGCCAAAACCGCGAATACCCTTTTAGAAATCACTGTACCTGTAACCACCAAACAGCTCAGAGGAGAAGACAGGGCTGGGTGGGTCATCAATGTCGTTTTCTTCAGACAGGTTAATATGCAGGGGAAACTTGCTGGTTGAAGGTATTGGATCATCTTTACGGAGTGAAGAGACAGCACTGGTGGGGCGTGAGGAGACAGCAATGGGGGACTTCTTAAAATATATGTCCAATTTAGTCTGCACAGTTTGCCTTTTCTTTTCATTATGAATCTCCCTGAAGCAAGCAAGTGCATCTTGGACCATTCTGTCAACTTTGGCAAAACGCTCAACATTTTGATCCATTCCGTCAAACATTTGCATCCCCTTATTAATTGTTGCAAATGCCTCTGCCATTTGTTTCGCTGAAAAATTTTTGAGGGGTGCAGGTTCTTCAACATTTTGACTCTCTTCTTCCACTGCAATTTTCTGTGCTTCCAGTTCAATAAGATCCTCGTTACTTAGCTCTTCTGCTACACTTTCAACCAACTGCTCAACATCTTCATTATCAATTTCTAACTCAAGCTGTTTACCCAACTCCACTATCTTGTTACTAATCTCAGAAATTACTTCATCTTCATTAAATCCACTGAAAGTGTTCACATATCTTTTCAGGACCTTCTTCCATATTCCATTCATGCACTGTCTTGTAACCTCATCCCATGCTGCAGCTATGTTCTTTATGCATTTCAAAATGTTGTAGTCCTTCCAAAACTGTCTGAGCGTTTTCTCACCTTCAGTAGCAGCAACAGCCTGAGCGACTTTTTTATGTAAATAATTCGCTTTAAAAGCAGCAATAGCACCTTGATCCATGGGTTAGATGATAGAGGAAGTGTTAGGTGGAATGTAGACTACCTTAACATCAGGGTGCAGGTCGTCCAGGTGTGGTGGGTGTCCCGGAACATTATCAAAAATTAAAAAAATTTTGAATGCAATCCCTTGTTGCAGACAATACTCCTTGGCTTGTGGAATGAAACAAGTCAGGAACCAATCTTCAAACAGGACTAGGGTCATCCATGCTTTCTTCTTACTGTGATAAAACACTGGCAGCGTGTGCTTGCTGACATGTTTAAAAGCCCTTGGGTTCTCTGAATGATATATCATGAAGGGCTTTATCTTGAAACCGGCTACATTCCCGCCCAACAGAAGTGTGATTCGGTCCTTGAATGCCTTGAATCCCGGCACTGTTTTAGCCTCTTTGTGGATGTATGTCCGTTCTGGCATGTGCTTCCATAATAAGCCAGTTTCATCCACATTAAATACTGTATTTGCTAAGGCATAAATTTCCCTCCACGATGACACGATCTAGCTCCTCCTTAAAAGCTTCGGCAGCACCCACATCAGCACTTGCTGCCTCTCCACTCACCTTTACACTATGCAAACTGAAGCGGTTTCTTAAACCTTTGGAACCACCCATGACTTGCTGTGAAGGTTTGGTCGCACTCATCTCCTGCCTGCTCTTCGGGCCTTTGAAAAGCCTTTTTGCCATAACCCGTAGGGTTAGAAGGCTTAAGGGTACACGCCTTTGTATTTGATCTCCCATCCAGATCACAAGTAATTTTTCCATCTCATGAATAGGACCTTGTCTTTTCTTCGTTATTATAGTTCCCTTTATAGGTGCTGATCCTTTCACTACCTCACGAATACGTTCCTTGTCTTTCAAAATAGTCGATATGGACAAATGCGAGAAGCCTAGGTCGTGTGAAATGGTTGCTACCGTTTTTTTCATTTTCACACTGTATTATCATCTTCGTCTCAAAAGTAATTGACTGTCTCCTTTTCTTCTGAGCACCACCAGCACTCTCACTTCTACCCTTGCCAGTCATTCTAAAGTGAATTAGATACGAAAATAATGTCAGTACACAGCGCGATTAGTTGCGAGAACGACAGCCAAACACCATCTAAGCGCTCTACAGCGTGGGTGCTGTAGCCACGAGGCGGCGCGACCCAGCCCACTCGACGCTCTCGCACGGGACGGAAACGTTTCGGTCTAGAAAATACGCGCGTCATTTGAAAAAAAATTTGGTACCGGCTGCGGTTGTCGTATGTGCGGGTGGTTGTACCGACTGAGGCAGTTCGTAAGTGCGGGTGGTCGTAGGTCGAGTATGTTGTAAGTCGAGGAGCAGCTGTATACTGTATATATTGTATAATAATAATAATAATAATAATAATAATAATAATAATAATTTCACCTGTTTATTAACTTCATTAGCTTTTAGGCAGTTAGTCTGCCGAGTGTTAGGACAGCAGTAAACCTGCAATGTTTGGGAGAGTCACACTAGGTCTGGGCCAAGTTGGACTCAAACCCATGACATTGTAGGGAGAGATGTGTGTGTTACTGCTGTACCACAAACACCAGTTATCAGGCTTATCATGATTGAAAGAGTATTTCAAGTCCATAAGCATAGATAACATAATCTTTAGTGATATTATATTAATAGAATATGACTGAATGGTTATTTTAATAAATTTTAAAAAATTCAACAATATTAGAGGGTTACAGAATGTTGAACTCTTTGATTGCTCTAGATATACCTTATTTAATTAAGTCTTCATTTCTTGGTTGTGTTTCAGATAATGCCTGTAGAAGACAAGTCAGTTATTGATGAAAATGTAGCAAAAATTCCTGTAAACAGTAACCAAGCAACCAATGGTGACATAAAATCAGTTCCACCCAGAAGCAAGTCCACCATGGAGGTGAATGGGAGTACATGTACTGGCCACCAGAACTCTCACGACTCCACTCCTCGTAAGTAGAGTATTATTCAGTTAGTAATAAAAGAGAGTTTATGTTCAAACTCCATCATTGTTGTTATTGGTTTTAACAAATGTTTGCATCCAAGTTTTTAAATCGGTCTTATTTCAGTAACCTTTATCCAATTAACTTTTAATATAAATTTATCACTTTCGTACACCCAAGGCAAGCTAAATTATGTACAGTACGCCTTTGCTAATCTTGAGAAAATGGAGAATGGGGTCAGTAGTTTTATCTGCCACTTTCCTTGAACAATCAAAATTTTTAATACAGGTGTGCATTGATTTAAAAAAATTTGCTAATATTGGTGGAAATAAAAAAAAAATTGGCATTTCGAGATACGAATGAAAACCCTGCTTTTACAAGAAAAATAGAAATAAATTGCTTTATTCACGTGTAACATCGGAAGGTGCTGGGTTGCTGACACAGGCATATGACAGCATCCCATGCTGAACTCGGACATTAAGCAGTAGTGCAGGCTAGTGTGTGTGGCAACAGTTCTGTGCTTATATATTAATGGAAATTAAAACTATGTTTTCATTGCATCTGTTTACATAGAACGTGCCTTGTTGCTAAGTTAGATTCATCACTAAGACAGTCTTCATATAAATTATATATCTTGCCCTAAAGGTAGAAAAGAACATACGCATGAAAGGAGATGGCAATATGTTTAGTAAATTATCCAAGAAAGAATATATTTTTGTTTCTTAAAGAAACATCTCATCAATGCAAACGTACACAGTTACCTTCGAAACCACAATATTGGTGTGAAGCTGCCTAATTTGTGTATCAATCAATCAAAATATCGTCCTCATATCTGAGGGTTGGCAACCACAGTCCTCCACTCTTAACATTGTTGGGCTGTTTTTACCAATCCTTTGAGATTTTGCTTTTTGCTGGGAACCCAATTTTTAATTACATTCATCCATCCCTGTCTCTGCCTTTCCCTGTGGTTTGATTGGGACCGTATAAGTCTAAATGACACTCCGTAAGATTATATTTATACCTTTTACTATTTATACAGTACTCTGGAATCTAAAGACCATGGGAGATGTCTTATCATGTGCTCACCACTTTTCTTCCAACGAATAATTTCACGTCCAATCCATAGCTGCCATGCTTCCCTTTAGCGATGACACTTAATTTAGCACTATGCTTTGAATTCATGGTTGAAACAATGGCAATGATTTTCAAGAATTCACAAAAATAATAGAAAACCGCAGATTAGGCATTGTTTACAGTGGGCGAACGACTGAGAGCGAGTGAACAGCATGGGTTTAGGGGATGAGTTTGTGTATGGAGGAAGATTTGAATCATTCTCTGTCGAGCCTTCACGCTACACGGATATTATTCCTCGTAAGTGCGGATACTTTTTAGGTATAGTTCAGCAATAATTTGGCCTCGTAAATGCGAAACCACGGATATTGATGCCTCTGATAAGGAGATCCCCCTGTACTCAATATCTTATACTCAAGTATCTCTTTATGTTATTAACAATTTTGAAAATGAATATGATTTTGATCCCCTCCAACTTCAGGGGTATCCAAAACTCACCCTGGTGCAGGTAGAGGACTGTATTTTATAAATTATTGTTGCTTTTTGGTGGGAAATGATGATATTTTTGTCACCAGGAACATGTCTGATTTCTTGCTCCAGGATCCAACACTGGTCAGGCCCTGGGGGTGTCATTTTGGAGGAGTTTGACCTGTAGTTGTGATCATTCAGTGTGTAGTAATCTATTTTTCCTCCCATTTCTCTCACCTTCCCGTAATCTGTTTGATGTCTGTGTTACTTAATTACTCATTTCAAATGATATGGTTAAGAATCTATTGCTTTATATACCTGGTGCATATCACACTGCAACTTATTAATAATTTTTTTGTGCTTTAGTTTTTTCAGTAACAAATTTGATTACACTCTCATTTGTGATTAGTGTACTTGACTTTACCTGCTTTATTTTGCACATTTGACTCACCACACAGATAGGACTTCTTAGTTATCAGTCTTCAACCATCTCTTTTGGAAGAACAACAAACCTTGTGAGAGAATAAAAAATCCGTTCATGAAAAAATCTCCTAAATGTTGGAATTTATCACCAGCTATGCCATGGTTTGGAATGGATATTGGTGGAACCCTGACAAAGCTTGTGTACTTTGAACCAACCGACTTGAGTGAGGCTGAGGAGGAGAGTGAAGTTGAGACTATTAAAAATATTCGGAGATACCTCAAGAGCAACTCGGCCTATGGTGACACTGGCCACAGGGATGCTCACCTTCAGGTTTGTTGTACTATAATTATATTTTTGGCTCAGAATTAACCTCTTATAGTTCTATTAAATATTTACATTTATCACAAACACTTTTGTATTGAGTTAAATTTTAAAAGATTAATTTTATTTAAGTAACCTACAAATAGCAAAACTAATCCTTGAGAATTTAAAGGATGAAAGATCATTTAACATCAGCACATCACAAATCTGTCACATCAACCACATCAAAATCCATTTAAATTTCCAAACTCACCAAACAACAGTTTTATGTGACTCCTTTGTATCTCATATAATTTATGACTATCATTACTGTTCTGTAGATCCCTTGAGCATACATTAAACTTTTAATTAGAATAGCACAAGCTCGAGGTCCGCCCTACTTATTAAGTCACAATACCGAATCACAATATAAAATTTCCAATCATCACCCCTCGATTATTCTTTAAACACTAAATAGTTATCAATTTTTGGTAAACTAAGAGCTATGTCTTTTTTAAATGATTTCAGCAGCCATAGGAATGTTATCCAGTGATATTACACAACTCACACACTTCAGTCTTATAATTATTTTTGTGCACCTCATTTTCTATATACAGTGTATTTAGACCTTTTGTCACTTACTGTTTTACACAACTACTGACATTTTTATATTTTGTTTTACAGATGGAAAAGGTGCGTGTTGGGAATCGAACAGGAACACTCCACTTTATACGCTTCCCCACATCAGAGATGCCACAGTTCCTTGAACTCTCCAAAAGCAAGGGGATGGCTACCCTTGCTTCTACCATTTGTGCTACTGGAGGAGGAGCCTACAAATTTGAGGAAGAATTTCAGCGCGTGGGTATTAAAGTGTGGTGTGGCCACTCCTACCCCCCAGCTGATGGACAATCCCATTATGTGGGTAGAAACAGTGCTGGGTACCCTTAAGGTGGTGGTGTTCACTCCTACTGCACAAGTGGTGGTGGTCCTTCCTTACAGCTGGGGGTGTCCTCGTGTTTCTTGTTGCTTTTATACAATATTGGTATTGGGCTTTTTTCTCGTGTACAGTACAGTACTGTATATGAGACCAAGGTGTTACTTTATATGTACAGTATTCCCTTGACCTGCACAATACTCAACAATCATGAATTTAAAGATAGACCAAGACTATTTCACTGCCCATTTTTCGAGTAGCGTGAGTTGAAGCTCAAATAAAGACCACATGACCACTGACTCATTGTTAAATTTTTCAAAATATAACTCAAAATATAATAAGTCAATGGTAAAAATAAAATTTTAGGCAAAATAGTCATTGTTTCAATAAATACGGTACAGACTATATGGATGGAAGATAATGCATTCTGTATAGTAAACTTATAATTTGTTAAAAGGTATTTTAAAATGATGGAATTATTGTAGTGTTGAAGGGAGAAAAGTGATGTTTTAAGAATGTATTACGTGATTCTATTTATCTTTGGTCATTTTTCTAATGTTCCTACCGTACTGGAGTGTATCCTCACCGTATTTAATGTAAAAACAGTAATCTGTCTTTAATGTTTCATTTTTTAGAAAACATTAAATATTTTTAATATTGTATGTTTCATTACATAAGTTTTTAAAGATTAAATAAATAAATATCAAATGAATACAGTCGGTCATTTCAAAACGCCATTTAACAAATTATATGTTTACGATACAGAATGCTTTGTCGTCCATCTATATTGTCTTGAGTAAGAAAGTCAAAATACATGATATGACAGCTGTGTCCAAGTTACCAACTGTTGAATATTCTAAAAAAAAAATATAAAGACTGACCAGATAAATTTTATCTATGTATTCTTCTCCACAGGGGTGTATTGAAACCACTCAAGGTACTTGACACAGACTTTCTCTACCACCTCAGACTATTACCCTAGATTCTCAAACCTGTGTCGGACTCAGACTCGTCCTCCTATCTCAGACTTAATTGCCCTCAGATCTTGGATCTAGGTCGGGCTCTGGCCTATTCAGAAAATCAGCCTTATCAGACTGCCCTATCTCCCAATACTGAAAGTCTGAGTTGACAAGGCTATTTCTTTAGAGGTGAAAATGGAAGTAACTGAAGAGCAAGAAATAAGAGCACTATTTGTGCAGATAATAATAGAATTAGGAATACTGTAGTATCAAATGTGGTACAATCGGCCTAAGAAGTTATTTCACTGTTTTCAGTGTGATTCGTCCAAACAGCGGTATCTGGCAACTACATCTTATGCCTGGTGTGTGGGGTGAGACCGCTGGAGCCGACTCAGCCGAGTGACCAGTAAGCTGGAGGACGTTGTAGGGTGATGTCGTATTAATGAACTCTTTGAGCCGAACATCTCGCTGCCTAACCTTATTCTATCATTCTCTCATAGTTTAGCAGGTAAAAGGCTTCCAGATGGGTACAGTTATGGGACCATTTATCTGGCATGCTTGGGACCTGGATGGTTGCCAGATATGGGTTTTTCCAGAATTTGGAACTCCAGGCCTAAGATGTACGAAATGTACAGTAAACCCTCTGTAATTAGCTTTGAAGCCTCTGTTCAGATCACTAGATTCAATGCGTGAAAGTAACTTTAACTGTACTGTGCAGTACACTGTAACATTAAAATATAAAATTGTAGAACACATAAACATCAATAATGAAGACATATTAATAGGGCATACAATAATATTGGAAGCATAAAAAGAGCAAAAATTACACAAATTTATGTACAAACTGCATCCCAGTCACCTCTGGTATTCACCTTAGCAAATGGTGTTTCGTCGCGGACCCTCCGACTTCTCCATAGTTTCACAGATGTAAACCAATAAATACGTGAAACTCTAGACCTTACGATAGCTATTTATTTTTGTACTTTCTCTATGTAGGATATGTGTTCATGTAACCGAGTAAAGAAAATTAAGAAAATTTCACATACAGTATGTACTCAAAATTACGAGTTGAGAAATAACCATAACATTAAATAATTCACAGGTGGGGAATGGTTGGAAATATCCCCGCTTGTCACGGGAATTACTTTTGGGGCTCATTTTAAATAATTTGTTCCAGAATATTGCCTGTTTTTGGAGAGTTCCAGACACTGGGACACCGTATAAACAGTCCCATACCTGCAGTAAAAATAGGAGCTATACCTGAATCCCACATTTAAAAGACAAAGGTCTGTGCAGGGAAAAAAAGGGACAGTAAGTCCAATAACAGGCCGATAGCATCTGCTTCTAGGTGTAGAATATTCTGCACATGGCTAATTTCCTTGTTTAAAGGTTGTCTTACTTTTTGAATAATATGAAAGGCATTTGTTGCCCTAAATAATTTTTTATTTAATAAGTTTTCATAAGAGTTACCGTAGTAATTTAGCCAAGTTTTATTTATTTTTCACAAAGTAATAAATGGCTGTTAAATGGGAGTCTTTAATGTTTTATATTTTATTCTTTGGTGCTAAAAATACAATACTGTACCTTCAGAGTATAAATGTTAATTAATTTTCTGACATGTACAGTAGTACAGTACGAGGGGAAAACTATAACAATGAATATGGAAAATATTTGTTTACATATACAGTACTGTATAGTAAAGAGCAAGGCATAAAAGTTGTGAGTATGAATATTATTTCAATTCACATTTTTTTTAATACTCATTTCAGCTTAACACATTTAATGTGTACTGTACCTATTCATTTTGACATCTGATTCCTGAATGTCCCTGAGCAATAATCTCGTATGTCATATTATTTCATTTCAAAATACAGTATACTAAAATTTTAACTACAGTATAGTCTGGGTTTACGTGGTCAATTAAACCCATGGAGGTCCGCGTATAACGCGAAATGCGTAGATAAAATAACAGAACATATGGGATTAATTGAAATAGAGACTGGGCCGACCGCCAGACTACCCTTTTTCCGACACAATACGTACGTTGTAGTAAAAATAACATCTTAATTTTATGATGGTATGCACACACAATTAATAATTAAGAAAATATCAATAATATTAGGTTTTTTAACACTTACGTTAGTGGAAAAGATGGCTGGGCACACGGGGATGGGGGGTTGGTTCCAAGGCAAAGGGCAGATTATTGGCCCTAACCTGTATCCCTTGTATCACCTGTATCACTACCCACCACAGAGGCTAGCAGGGGCCTCCTTGTCAAACTCCTCAAAGTCCATATTCTCACTATCACTGACTTGGGCTGGCTGTGGTGGGTGAAGAACTCGGTAATGTTTTGTTGACTGGGCAGGCAAGGTTAAATAGACCAATCACAGCGCTCGGCGGAGGGGGTGCGTGGGTGGTAAGGATACGTGGCCCAATCACAGTCCGAGACGTCATCAGCACGAGTCTGACGTCAGCGGTGACGTCAGCGACCAGCCGCTTGCCGCGTAAATTAAGGAATGTACCGCGTAACTAATAATTGCCGCGTCTGGCCAAACGTGTATAAAATATCCGCATAAACCCAGACTATACTGTACATGATTTGTTCTTACAGTATTCTTATGAAAAAAAAATGTTTTAGCATTTAATAATTAATTTACTATTCACAAAATTGTGTTTGACCTCAATAAAAATAAAAATGGAGTCTTGTAGTTGCCAGATACTACTTTCTGATTGAAAATGTTCTGGAATTTGTAACATCGTCGATGTGGGCGATTGTACGTCAGTAAGTGCTGTGAGAGGAATTAGTCCATGATATCTATAATGGAAAATAAGAGATTGTATTTATGGATTGAGCAACAGTGTAATCAAAATATGCCTCAAAGTTTAATGGTCATCACAAAGAAAACTGAAGAGGATGAATCCGATGTTAAGCCTTTCATTGTGACCCATGGTTGGTTTGAATGGTGCAAGAAGTGCAATAGTTTACATTGATATTGAAACAGAACTTAATTGGGGAAAATACAGTATAAGGGAAGAAAAACACTCAAGATTTTAAAAGGCCCAATGAATGCAGCATTCTGTCACCGGTGTATATTTCTGAACTTTTTTCAATCAACATACCCCATGGTCTCAGTGCAATGCATCATTTGTTTATGGAAAAGTACCGTTGCTTTCGGTTTTTTCCCCCTCGGGAGGTGCCCCTCTTTATTCAAATTATGGGGATTTTACTGTACAAGTTCTCTTCGTAGGGATCATAGAAGTTCTGAACGAGACTGGCGCAGGTGGCGAACAGACCTTACTAGATCAGAGTACATACATGTATATGATTGCACGTTGGACTGTTGTTTATTCCGTGAGGGCAAGCATAGTTGAATAATACAGAAGTCAAGTAGCCTCTTGTGGCAGTGGTCAGAAAAAATTGTATGCAGTTATGAATGGGCTGTTGGGCTGGAGGTCTGGAACTACTATGCTTTCAGTTTCAGATGCTCAGCTTGCCTCAGTTTTTTTTTATGACAAAGATATCATGTACAAGAAGTAACCTTGATGGTTTGAATGAGGAATTTTCAGTTGAATTTCAACCGAGTTACACCATAAACCTCACTAATTCATCATTTTGTCCTGTAGGGGTGAACAGTATTCTGTGCTATATCAAGGATTTGAAGAAGACTTTGTCATCTTGGTCCTATAAATGTACCTAAGGAGTTTAGAAGAACTGGCGCTTTTGAGAAACAAATGTCCAACTATTATTATTACCTTGCTGTATTTATTGTACAGTACAGTATTCTATACATTATTTATTAAATTAATTTTTTATCCTTGAGATGCAAAGAAGTGGCACTGGGATGTTCTGACCATACGATGGTAAATATAAAATTTAATTTTTGGTGTGCAGTTGTATTGATCTAGTAAAGACATGAACAATGTTAAAAGATTCTGTGTATCTGTGTACTGTACAGTATTCATTATTTTGTAGCTTTACATTGTGATATATTGTACATTAATAACAGTTTATTTCACTGTAGAATCAAGCAGGCGATGGTAACTAAAACAAACTAATTTCTACCCCCGTGTATTATTTAAATCATATAATGAATACATTATGTTATCCAGGGATTACTGTACGCATATCATGTAGACTTGGCCATATACAGAATACTGTACTGATTTGTTACTGAATGTTTGCCAGATTCTTTGTGCTACTCACCTTCATCTCTGTTCCTTTTGTGCGACTTATGTAAATCTAAGAAGTTTGGAGTTTCACATCTATGCAAAAAACTTGAAGCAAGTATTTCTTACAGTCCTTGTGCATATTCCTCTTGTTACAAATATTTTCCACTCCTCAAGGCTAACAATTTTTTGTTGCTAGCATTCCTCACTGCTTGAGCCTTGCTTTATATAGCCAGCCTTATTGAATAGTAATACCAACTGCTGTGCTTAAACTTCTTCAACACTCACATTTTAATGGGTTTACTTTCCGTCAAGTACAGGAACCTTCTCTAAGCTACAGTTTTAATTTCTGCTTCCTGCCTACTAAAAAAAAAAATACCATCTTGTTTCATGTGTTAACAAATGAGACAACAGAGTGTGGGGATGTAATAGATTCATATATTTTTTGCTCTAAATCTGGTGATCTTAATGTTGTTGAGCTTATTGACACAAGAAGTACTCTTTGGCTAATATGGACATGGATGTGGCACCTATGATACCATATTATATCTTGAACACATTTCAGGTATCACATATCCTGAAGACTCATTTGGGAATGTAATATCTTTGAATGAAACTTATTTTTGATAAAAGGAATCAGTTATTTGATATAATGGTTAAAAATTTGCATCATACCTCTAAGTGTATAGTAGTGGTGATATTTGGTATATACTGTACTGGTAAATTAATGTTTTGACTAGTTTAAATTAGCACTAACTTGTGTTAACCTTACAGGAAATGAATTTAACCCTGCACAAATTTGATGAACTAGACTGTCTCATCCGAGGCATAGAGTATATAGAAGACAATAATAACTACAATGAGTGCTATTACTTCCTCAATCCTCGCAATGAAGAGACGTGTGAAAAGGTTACTTATGATTTCAGCAATCCTTACCCTTTTCTGGTAAGTATATAGAGGGATGAAAATATGCCAGTAATTATCGGTTTTTTGGGGGAGCATTTAGTGATTGGTCAGTAAAGCTGTTTTTTTCCAAGATTGTCATTATTGGCATGTTTCATTACTCAGGTGGTCCAGAACTTGGAGTTTTTATTTTATGGTTTGCATAGACTCGTATATTATGAGGCTATGCTAACCATGACTTTGTAAGCGTCGTCCCGGCCAAAATTCAGTCTTTATTCCATGATGCAATACCCTGTAGTTTTGTTGGATCAAAAATCTTATTTCTGTACAGGATTTGTCAGCCATAAGTTTGCAGTGCCAGCAAACAAAGCAAAGTTCTTTCTCGGCATGGTCAAGGACCACAGGAACTGTTGGACACAGACGATGACGAGGAAATCCTGGACAACACATCTGCAGTGTAGTGACTCCCGCCGTGTGACAGTGACGTAATATTTTATGGTCAAGGAGAAATAATGAGTGGCCTGGTGTCCCTCCCTCCTCCTTTGATGGGATTAAAAATTGGTAGAAATGAGAGGACTAGTATAAAACTTTCATGATCTAGAAGATTCAAACCATGTAAGCACTATTGTAGGTTTCAACTCCCTTCAACTGAAGCCCCACCAGACTTTTAAGTCAACCATCAGCTCAGATGAGACTCGTATCAATTACTTAGTTGAGTGAGAAATTTGTACTTGCAACTAAAGTACTATTATGCTACCTGTCCATCTGGATAATGTCTCCTGCCATTTTAAATATGTCAGGTTAGAGGGTGTTTCAGTGTTACAGGTCTTGCAGATTGTTTGTTTTTTCACCTTGATTAAAAAATAATGAGATTTCAGATTTCAGTCCACCATTTGTAAATTCATGTTTTAGTTGTCCTCCAACACACCAACGGAGAGTGGCAGAGTGTTACAGTAGTACTGTATCACCCATCCAATCTGGTTTTCAGACAATTTTGATAATTGTTATTTTCCCACCAAATTTTGGGAGTTGACTTTTTGTTTCTATGGTGACAGGACATGATGGTCACCTAGTTTATATGTACCTGTCTTTATGTTATTCCTAATTTTCCATCTTTTATTTATGTATTTTGAGTTACTTCTTTTATTTGCAGGTGGTGAATATTGGTTCAGGAGTAAGCATCTTGGCAGCTTATGGCCCAGAAAGTTACCGAAGAGTTTCTGGGACCAGTTTAGGTGGTGGCACTTTCCTAGGTCTATCTTGTCTCTTAACAGGATGCAAAACTTTTGAAGAGGCCATTGAACTAGCAGCCAAGGGAAATAATGAGAATGTTGATAAACTAGTGAGAGACATTTATGGTGGTGACTATGATAGATTTGGGCTCAGTGGAGATATTGTAGCAAGTAGGTAAGTTACTTATTTTTATTATAATAATACTAATAATAATAATAATAATTAACGGTTTATTGAAAAAATTCTGCAGCCCGAAGGCTGAAAATATACATTGGACATAATTGACTTATTACATACATTGGTGGTTTAACAAAAGCCTTCATTAGAGAAAGGTAAAGGAACATACAGTGAACATACAGATTAATGTAGGTGTTGAACAGCAAACTCGTAGTGTAGTAACTCCCTCCCAGATGGTGTTAGGAGGAACTCACGTGGTGTAGTAGTTCCCTCAGATGGTGTTATGAGGGACCTGGCGTGGTGTAGTAATTCCCTCGCAGATGGTGTTATGAGGGGCCTCACGTGGTGTAGTAATTCCCTCACAGATGGTGTTATGAGGGACCTCACGTGGTGTAGTAATTACCTCACAGATGGTGTTATGAGGGGCCTCTCGTGGTGTAGTAACTCCCTCACAGATGGTGTTATGAGGGGCATCACGTGGTGTAGTAATTCCCTCACAGATGGTGTTATGAGGGGCCTGACGTGGTGTAATAATTACCTCACAGATGGTGTTATGAGGGACCTCAAGTGGTGTAGTAATTCCCTCACAAATGGTGTTATGAGGGACTTGACGTGGTGTAGTAATTCCCTCACATATGGTGTTATGAGGGACATGTGGTGTAGTAATTCCCTCACAGATGGTGTTATATGAGTGAGGTGTGGTCTTAGGCCTTCCTATCGTAGACGGATTAACACATCGCTGGTTGTTGTTGGGTCTCACGGGCCGTTATCACTGGGTTATCATCTTGAAGATATGTCACTTGGAGTTTGAGAAAAGAGTAATAGGGTATGGAAGTATTCTGGAGTAATATGGATCAAATGTATGGTGGAATAGATAAATGAACTTTTGTGTATGCCCTAGTAAACAAAGAGAGTACTGTATTGTACTATAATCGGGGAACTGTGAAAAGTTGGATGAATGAAATTAAAAACTGGGTCCTCAGAGAGATACAAAACCTTGGACGATTGGTAAAAAACAGCCCGAGAACATTTAAAGTAGAAGACTTTTGGCCGCCAACCCTTAGATATAAAGACGGTACTTTGTTTGATTGATTCATCAGCTGTTCAGTAGTTTTCCAGACGAGACCTCTTTTAATTGGACCTTCAATAAATACCGGTAATCCTGTCACTGAAGCACTTTGCCATTGTCTAGGACCTAGACAATGGCAAGGTCTGTGATAGAATGTTCATTATGTTGGGATCTCATCTTATAGGACACTCACCTTGGTTCATGGCCACAGAATGAGATATCAGAAATTTACTGGAAGTTTTGTACTTACTGACAGCAATGTTGCCATCTCTAATAACTCCTACCTTTAGTGACTGTTTACTTGAACAAATGAGGCCTAGAGCCATTTGTAACAAGACAATGGCAAAGAATCACTCAGCCGAGCTTTAGTACAGTATTTCATTTACCTTACCTATATGAGTACAGTGGTCCATCGGTTAACGAACACAATCCGTTCCAGCAGGTTGTTCGTTAACCAAAAAATTCGTTAACCGAAACCATTGTTTCAATGGGTTTTTGGGTAATTGGTTCCAGCTCACCAAAAATTGCCTAAATTCAACAAAAATGTTAGAAAAGTACACTTACTTTGAGGTGTGTATGTAGAAGGTTCCTGGATGATGATGACGATGATGGGAATTAGAATGGGGGTGGAGGAGAAGGAAGAAGAGAAGGCATTGGGGTGGAAGAGAAGGAAGAAGAGAAGGCATTGGGGTGGAAGAGAAGTCACTCCATGGCACCATTTCACCCATAAAATTTTAGTTCTCTTGGTGTATTTCAAGAATATTTTCTTTAAATCAACACTGCACTGCATTATATATTGTCAATATGTAAAATATATTTCAAATTGACCAATAATTTGCTTGGAAACACAGAAAAAAAGCATTTAGTTGAAGAGAGTCTCAAGCAAGATGTTACCTCCAGTGAAAACAGAGAGAGACTAACGCCTGTTTGCTGTGTTAAGAGGCTGGATGCCGCGCATTAAACTAGTCACTTTACCTTCAATTATGTTCAATAATTGTTAAAATGACTAAAAAATTGAATATTAAACTTTTAAAATTATTGAATAGTATAAACTTCTTGATATTTACTAAAATAGTAAGGAATTTAAGCCCTAGAACCGATTAATGTATTGGCGGACTAATACTAAAGCTGGTTGACCGGCCAGTGCAAGCGAAAACATGTTGAGGTCGGTTCGTAAGAAATTCGTTAACCGAATTTTTTTTCGTTAACCGAATTTAAGAATCTTATGGGAGGCAGTTCGTTAACCGAAATTTCGTTAACCGAGGGACCACTGTATGTGTATTTTAAAATTTCAAGGAATAAGAATTATCCATTACTGATCTGATAATTTCCACACATAACAAACTAAAAATAGCAAGTGAAATGCACTGATAATGTAAATATCATAAAGCAAACAAGAAACAGATTACAAAATTTCAGCGACAATCTTGCACTCCAAGCTGCATGACGTCACATGACAAGGAGGAGTTTACGTTATTGAACTTCTTCATCATTTTCCTTTTATGATATTTTTATTACCTGTGCATTTCACAAGCTAATATTTGCTTCTCCAAGTGTGGAAGTTATCAGAGATCAACACACAAAAGTTAATGCTCCTTAAAATATCAGGATATAGATATGATACATTAAATACTAAAGAACTGTTATGGCTCTTTGTGCATTTGTCCACCAGCAAATTGACTGCACTTGCTACAAACTGACTCTCATTTGCAAAGCTTTAGTGAACAGACTATAGGTCCTCCTCTTCTTCTTTTTTTCTTTCTTTCTTCAAAACAATAAATTTTAGTTATGTGTTACTTAGTCTTTTTTCTTTGCAGCTTTGGTCACATGAACAGTGCTGAGAAAAGAGCGAAAGTTTCTCGTGAAGATCTTGCATGTGCAACATTAATCACGATCACAAACAACATTGGCTCAATAGCTCGAATGGTGGCAGCTAATCAGAAGATTGAAAAGGTATTTCTTAAAGACTGGGACTACTGTTCATTATTTTTTATAGACCTGTGTAATATGAACTTGCTTGTACCTCAATTTATTACCTAATGAGTGACAGCATTTCATTCATATCATATTTTCAAATTCCTTTTGAAGAATTTATATAGACTTAAGCAATGCTTCAGTGACCCCATTTACATGTTTTTGTCTACAGGGTTGAAAAACACTGGATCTGGACTAATGTTAAAACCACATATTTTTAACTGACTGATGCTGTGAATTAAGAAGCACTCCACAATCATGATTACCTCACTACAGTTCCCTATCACATAGCCTATAGGAAGGTCACTCACATACTCTTATTGTTTCTGGCTGCAGATCAGTGCTACCCCTAAATAATTTGCACTTGATGTTTTAGACTGGACCATATAGCCTGAGGGTGTTAACATATTTGTTATTCAGGTGTTGTTGAAGTATTCGTGTTGTTCAAGTATTTGTGTATACTCACTATAGTATCTAGTTTTAGGAATCTCTGGCATATTAGTAGCACATGCCAATATTTTCCTAGTAACCTGCCCTCATAAACAGGTCCCACATTACATAACTCTGGATATATACAATAATTGGTTTTTAAACAAGGGTCTGCCCAAGACCAATAAGTGAATACTCAGGTGGAGTTCATTTCTTGACTTAAGGGTAACTCCTTTATTTAGTAAAAGCTTCAGGGGAGTTTGTGGGTATATTACGATAGGATGTGATGCCAGGCTGGGTAATTTAATGAGCAGATGGGTTGTTTGACTGTTTCCTACTGACTGTCCACCAGAGGGGATTTGTGTTGTTTTCTCACAAAGTCATTGTTCTCACTGACTTAGTGTGTATTATTTCTCCTCTGTGTGATGTTTTCCATTTTTATTTATGTATATGGCTTGCTTAAGCCTGTAAGTAACTTGGATTTGCATAAGGGTTTGCATCTCTTGTCAGATGAATTGGTAGGTAAGGTCTGTATTTCCTTTACATCATCATCATTATCATAATCAATGTTTTACAGTCATTTTTCCACACTTGAATGGGTTAGCAATGGTAACAGATGGCAGCTCTCTAGGCTGCATTATAACCTCTAGTCAGGAGCTTATCTCTGAGACCATTTCTCACAGCCTCTCCCCATGTCATTCTTGGCTTACCCTTGGCTCTTTCCCTCCACAAATAGTGTTGTTGGGAATGTACGTATCTCCATATCGAATACTATTTTGTACAGTATGTTATAATTACCCCAAAGTAAGCCAATTTGCTGAGTTTTCAAAGAGTATTACTGTACTTGTTGGAAGGCATATATATATATATATATATACCCCTAATTACATTAATTCCTATGGGGAAAAATTGCTCATTATAAAACATTTCATACAAGTCACTTTTCTCTGGAACATATCCCCAACATATAGTGAAGACCCCTGTATTGATCTTTGTATATGTAACTCATGTCATTTTACCAAAGTGGGGTTTTATAATACTGAAACCCCTATTAAATTTTGGTAACTTGTTGATCCTAGGTAATTCTTTTTCTTGAATTTATTTTCAAGACCAGGATACAGGTTGTACCTCTCTAGTCCGGCATTCTGTGGTCAGGAAACTCCCGTGGTCCGAAACGATTTTAGTTTGTCCAATAGGTAGATAGGCAGCTTACTTATCTGAATTATTATTACAGGAGTATTAAATTTTTGCCCCTCAGGCCACAATGTGGGTCAGTGACCTATGCCTGGGTGGGCTAATCCAGGGGTTTTCAAACTATGGGTCCCGACCCTTCAGTGGGTCGCGAAATAAATAAATTGGGTCGCAAAATAAAAATGGGTCGCAAAAATAAATAAGAAAAAAAAATGCACCATAATTTAGGCTTGGTTATTGTAATGTACACTCCACAGTCTAGGAAGCGACTGCAAGGAGAGCATTTCCTGATTCTTTCTTTACCTCTCATGTCAGTGTTTGTCTTTGATTTACTCATTTCATATCATTACACTTAGGTTTAATGGGTCGCAATTCAAATTGTTGTTCTGGCTGTGGGTCACAGTAAAAAAAGTTTGAAAAACACTGGGCTAATCCCCTTAAAAAAAAAAAAAAAAAAAAAAAAAAATTAAGGTTTGTTTACATCCGGCAGTTCGGCTGCTCTCTCTCTCTGCTTGTCTAGTATACAGAGTACAACATTTAACCCTTCAATATATATGAGCAGTAAATAAGTGTTGCTTTCATATTCTTATGTAGAGTAATGATATGTTTTCATATGTGCGCGCTTACAAACGCGCAGTCTCACTTTTTTTTTACCATTAATGGCTACTTATATTGTTCCATTTATTAACATTAAATAACATTACAGGTACTTCAAACAACTATATTAATTTTTTTACATTAATTTTACTACAGCTAAAATCAGGGTCTTATTTTCTTCAGTTTTATATGTAGAACCAATCAGTCACTGGTTTTGTAAGCTTTAACATAAACAATGCCGGCAGCCATCTCATCTCCCAATATTCCAATGATATTAATAAATTAATTTTAACGCCACAAAATTCTGAAACATTAATTAAAAATATATATGAACAGTAAATAAGTGTTGCTTTCATATTCTTATGTAAAGTAATGACGATATGTTTTCACGTGTGCGCATGCGCACTTACATACGCGATCTCTCTTTTTTCTTTACCATTATCGTTAGCTACTTCTATTGTTCCATTTATTAACATTAAATAACATTACTTAAAACAACCATATTAATTTTACTACAGCTACAACCAAGGTCTTATTTTTTTCAGTTTTATATGTAGAACCAGTCAGTCACTGGTTTTGTAATCAACGAAAACAATGCTGTGTCATTTCCTCGTGTGTTTTAATATTCTACGTATTATTAATGAATTGTATTGCTCATTTTGCACACATAAACATTAATTCAATAAAAAAGACATTCAGTAATAAACAATAATGAATCTTTTGTACATAAGAGAAATGACGCTGTTTACACGATTATGCACGTCGTCTGCACGTTGGCGGGCCGTTCAAACCCATCGAAATTCAAGTTTCCGCCGTCAAAATTTTTATTTATTTTTTTTTTGTGTGTTTTCAATAAAATACGTTAAGAATTAAAACTCGCGAAATTTGAGAAGCTACTACAGGTTGTACCTCTCTAGTCCGGCATTCTGTGGTCCGGAAACTCCCGTGGTCCGGAACGATTTTAGTTTGTCCAATAGGTAGATAGGCAGTTTTTTTTTTTACTTATCTGAATTATTATTATTATTACAGGAGTATTAAATTTTTGCCCCTCAGGCCCCAATGTGGGTCAGTGACCTATGCCCGGGTGGGCTAATCCCCTTAAAAAAAAAAAAAGCCGCGGGAAATTAAGGTTTGTTTACATCCGGCAGTTCGGCTGCTCTCTCTCTCTCTCTGCTTGTCTATACAGAGTACAACATTTAACCCTTCAATATATATGAGCAGTAAATAAGTGTTGCTTTCATATTCTTATGTAGAGTAATGACGATATATTTTCACATGTGCGCACTTACATACGAGCAGTCTCACTTTTTTTTTTACCATTAATGGTTAGCTACTTATATTGTTCCATTTATTAACATTAAATAACATTACAGGTACTTCAAGCAACCATATTCATTTTTTACATTAATTTTACTACAGCTAAACTCAGGGTCTTATTTTCTTCAGTTTTATATGTAGAACCAATCAGTCACTGGTTTCGTAAGCTTTAACATAAACAATGCCGGCAGCCGTCTCGTCTCCTCTAATATTCCACGTATTATTAATAAATTGTATTGTTAATTTTGCACACACGTACATTAATTCAATAAAAACAAATTCAGAAACATTAATTAAAATATATATGAACAGTAAATAAGTGTTGCTTTCATATTCTTATGTAAAGTAATGACGATATGTTTTCACGTGTGCATGCGCACTTACATATGCGATCTCTCTTTTTCTTTACCATTATCGTTAGCTACTTCTATTGTTCCATTTATTAACATTAAATAACATTACTTAAAACAACCATATTAATTTTACTACAGCTACAACCAAGGTCTTATTTTCTTCAGTTTTATATGTAGAACCAGTCAGTCACTGGTTTTGTAATCAACGAAAACAATGCTGTGTCATTTCCTCGTGTGTTTTAATATTCTACGTATTATTAATGAATTGTATTGCTCATTTTGCACACATAAACATTAATTCAATAAAAAAGACATTCAGTAATAAACAAGAATGAATCTTTTGTACATAAGAGAAATGACGCTGTTTACACGATTATGCATGTCGTCTGCATGTTGGCGGGCCGTTCAAACCCGTCGAAATTCAAGTTTCCGTCGTCAAAATTTTTATTTATTTATTTTTTTGTGTGTTCCAATAAAATACGTTAAGAATTAAAAACTCGCGAAATTTGAGAAGCTACTATACGACATTTAACCCTTCAATATGTCTTCAAAGAGACCATGACGCAGAGAAAGTGGTGCTATTGCTTCCAGGCATAAGCACAAGTCACTATCTATCCAGGAAAAGGGTGAATTTCCATGGTCCGGCAATTTCCATGGTCCGGCACCGGTCAGGTCCCGAGGTTGCCGGACTAGAGAGGTACAACCTGTATACGACATTTAACCCTTCAATATGTCTTCAAAGAGACCATGATGCAGAGAAAGTGGTGCTAGTGCTTCCAAGCACAAGCACAAGTCACTATCTATCCAGGAAAAGGGTGAATTTCCATGGTCCGGCACCGGTCAGGTCCCGAGGTTGCCGGACTAGAGAGGTACAACCTATAGTTTCACTTTTTAAACTGTATTTGCCTGAGCACCCAGTTCAGTTTTTGCCCTCATTGTCGAAGTTAGGAAGAATGGAGGTTACATTTTGTCTTTGTTGATATTATATATACAGTAAGATAATCAAAAAATATATAATAGTCATTTTGTATATTTTGGACCCAGTACCTACTCATTGGTTTCAAGTCAAATTTGACTTGAAAGGTATCTTTGTTTTTTTTTTCATCAGCATACTGTGGCAGATTGATTATGTATATTCATGATAAAACTTAATCTATTTCAGTTTTAATGATGGATGTAATTATCATCCATCACTACTACTGTATTGTGATGGCTGGTGATTATGGTCATGTTTTATTGTATTTTGCAGGTGTTGTTTGTTGGCAATTTCCTGCGCGTAAATCCCATCTCAATGAAGCTACTGTCTCATGCCATGGAGTTCTGGTCAGGTGGACAACTAAAAGCTATTTTTTTGGAACATGAAGTTAGTACAGTATATCACATTCATTGTTTGGGTTGTACAACTGAATATTTAGCTCTGCATCTGCACACCCTTTACACACTGCAGTTCTAACACTCAAGTTCTGTCTTCCATTCTTCACTGTGTCTTTTGTCTCGCATGTTTTCTCATCATCATTTCTGGACTTGTTCTTTTTCTCTGTCAGGATTATCTTAATAGCAATATTTTACTTTTTCAATTAGGCCTACTCCTTTTTTTTTGTACTCACTTGGCAGTGTATAATGTACAATATAGCATTATCTTCTGTCAGTTTCTAACTTTTGTTCTACACATTATACTTTCAATAAATTTCACTAGTGAGTTGCCCTTAGGGATGCCTAATATAATGGGAGAGTGATAAGTGAATCGTTCAAAGTAGAAGAATGTTTCATATGTTACAATACTATATTACTGCACTATATAATATATCTGCTGATTAAAAATAGAAGAGTAGAAGCATATATTATACAGTATGTTAATAATATATTTCTGTATTTATAAATTATTCTCTTATGAGGCAGTTGAGGCAGGATTGTACTGTGTGACACTCGCAATGTACGGCACCGAAGGTTGTGTTTTCACAGTTTTTTCATTGACTCTATTTACTGCACACTATTTATATTTCTTAGACACTTCACTATAATACTCCTCAGCAACCACTTCCACTACCTCCTTAGAGGCATCTGCCAAGTTTAACCCCCCCCCCCCACCCACCCACCCTGCTTACACGAATTTTACCCGATACTAAATGGATTTTGGTCGTGGTTTCCGGGTTGGGCATACATGTGTCAAGTGCTGGACCCCAGTCCAGTTTGCACGGCGATCCAGATATGGGCATCCATAGAATTTTTTCCAGGGAGTGCAGGAAAGCAAGACAAGACCTGACATATCAGTTTATTCATAACGGGTATATATTGTTAATTTGGCAAGGTTGGTATTTTTGGTTTTGTGAGGCATTGTATAACCAGTATGGTGTATTTTTATATCACATACAGCTAACAGAGAAATTAACAGGAATCACCCACGTAAATGAGTGTTGTTCAGAATTCTTGGTCCGGTGTGTCATATTGTATAACACCATAAAGGTGCAGAAAATTTTTTTATTGACTGTACATCCATATAAAAGTATGATCAAGTTTAATTAAGTTACTTTCAAGTTATGTATGATCAGCAATTTCACTTATCAGTACATTATCACCAAATTATTAATCACTAGAATTATCATGGGGTTGACTTTAAGTATTAAAAACCTAACAAAAATAATTAATTATATGTCATTAACCCTGAAAATCTAAGAATGGCCAATGCTAACTGTCTCTCATGCTGGTAACTTGCTTAGATCATTAGCAGCGTAATTTCAATGACTTAATAAATACTGCCTCATTCATGTTCCTCATTCAGTAATTGATCGTAATATTTTCGCCAGGCATCCTTCATTTGCTCGTGACCAGGTTACCATGGTCATTTCTTACACACTGCTCACCAACAATATCCTTGTTCCTTCCCACTGCCTGACTACTCTATAAACCTCTCCTTGTGAGTCACCACTATTCAACATAACCACCATTGTGTCCTGTTCATGCTTCTTAGCCTTGTAAACATCTCTTTTGACCCTACACGTGACCTCCAGGTACTTCACCTTGTTATGACCCATCTTCCAAACCTTATTCAATCTTCTTTTCTCCTTCTATTTCAGCAGGGATTTACAGTACAGTACTAGGCAAACCTAGCTTGATATACAGTAGGTCATATTGACAGTAATATTGCCCTTCAGAGGGTTAACTGTCACTTGTACTTTTCCTCATTACTGTAATTATAATGATAAAATATTGCTGTATTCCTTGTTTCCATGCACGTACAATTTTCATATTGGTTATTTACTCATGCGCTAACTGCCGTTATATATTTCAGGGTTACTTTGGTGCTGTCGGCTGTATGTTGGAACTAATGCGGACTGGAGATACTATGGCTTCATCTTAAAGATAAACTTTAATATTATATAATATTTATTGAAGTTAGGTCCAATTGTAAATGCTTAGATACAAAAGATTTTATATTTTTTTTGTTTACTACTACTATAGAGTGTTTAATATGTGCTTCACATTGATATGTTAGGTTTGAGAGATAGAGGTACAATAGTTGTTTGTGATATGAAATGTTTATTTAGCCATTTATGACAGGCACAAAGAAGCATTGCACTATATTTTACTATTTTCAGTAACATATTTGTTATATCTATTTTGTATTATATGTTTTTGTAAACTTGCCAGTTATACAAGGCAAAAGGGTTAATGCTTGTACTTATTTTCCAGGCCTTTCCTTGTGTTGTGAATTATTTTACCCTCATACAAAGACCACCATACAGCTCTTGGATCTAAGGCCTTAGATGGATTTATGTTTAAGGAGAATGTGCCTTCTGATAAACAGATTTCTTTTTATTTTATATTAATGTCTTCTGTATATTTCCATGGAGTCTACAATGCTGGGGCAAGCATTGTGGTTGATTACAGATTTTGTTTTCTATTTTTCTCTAATTGATTTCACTTAGTCTTCGTATACATTTCAGTTTGAAGCATTGATAATCGGAATCATTTTATATAGTAACCAATTTTGTATTGTACAAAGACCTGTGTATGTCCATTTAACACCAAGGTAGATTTTTCAGGGTTGTAGTTTATTGCAGAGATTTTCTTTAATGAGATTAATAGAAAAGCTAATTTATTAACACATGGATGGCATATTAATTTTTTAACAATTTTTAGCATTTTGTATTTAGTTTTTTCCTTGTGTTTTAACAGGGGCATTGATATGTAAGACATTTATGAACACTATCTGCCTGCTAATTATCAAACTATGGTACAGTAATTTGAGGGAGATGTCTTAATTATATACAATCCTATACTAAAACTGCTTCAGTATTTTGGGTCATGAGTAAATTAAATTCTTTATTGTATTCACTATTATCATAATTACAGTATATATACATTTATATAAGCATACAGTACTTTGCACATGTTTACTGTACGTATTTACTTTTGCATTTCTGTATTTTTATGGCATATTTTGATATCCCTTGACAAATTAACCTCGCTTCACTTCATAAGTCTTACTTGTTATGTTGCCTAATATGAAATGAAATGAATACTAGGTTTTGGAACTTGATAGAGTACAGTATTATCTCTCGATACTGAAATAATTGGTGAGCAGCCCTTTCAGTATAAAACAAATCCAAAAACTTGTCCAATACCAGTATTTTTAGTCCAGGTAAAGTGTCACAATACCAGATTTTTTGTTATATAGAATATAGCTTGGGAACACAATACTTTAATGGACAATGAATATCATACATAATACAATATACATGATAGGTACAGTAACATACATATTGTAAAAAAAAGTGGCTCCATATTACATACACAGTTCCTTCTCTGGCTGCTGGCTGGTCAGCTGTTTGTCTATGTAAACAATTTGTCAGGAATTTAATGATAAAATAACTCATCTGACATTAAGTTTGTAGTTTTATTGGGGAAAACTGATTTATGTACAAAAATGTTTTATTAACCTGGGATCAAATGAACATAAATTACATGGGAATTATGTTGAAATTGCATGCTGTCATTTTAAAGAGGTCGCAGGACCAGAGGGTGAATTTTCTGCTCAGTCCAGCCAGCAACCTGCCTTTCCTTCCTTTTCTCCCACACAATTAATTTCCCACTCATTAGTTTTCTTCTTATATAGATTTATATTTTATTTTCTTATTTCTAAATCATATTAGAGCACTATATGACAGTATTATATTTGAGTATTTGAGGAGGGTTTCAGTATGTAGTGAACTCATTCAGAATAGGGAGATAATACTGTACTGCAATCTGAGAAGCACATTTGGAAAAAAAAAATCATAATTTTTTGCTTCAAATTAAGTGCTCATAAGAGCACTCTTGTGACCACAGATAGGGGAACTAAATATTTTGCATAAATGTAGCTTGATGTTACAGAAAGACATAACATAGCCCTGAGAGTTGTCAGGTATCACATGACCTGTCAGTGGTGTCTAATGGTTTTCACTATCGCATCATGGAGATCTCTGTGTATGTTGTGTTGTGAGCTCCATAGATTGACGTGAAAACCATTAAACACCACTGACAGATCACATGATACCTGATAACTCTCAGGTTAATCTCATCTTTCTGTGTCATTGGACTACATTTACACAAAATATTTGGTTCTCAACTTATATAGTTTGTAGTGTTTGGACATTATTTAGGGTTCTCGAATAAAAAATATTCGCCCTGTAGAAGTTCAGTACATTATAGAGAGTTAATACTGTACAGTATTTGCGTTTGACATTTAAATACAATGCAGCTATTTGAAGAAAAAAGTTGTAGACTATATTTTCAAACAGTTTTTCTGGTGGTGTAAATCCCACAAATTGTTTGATGTGGTTTGACCATTTTAATTCAAGATAACCAAACAGTTGACAAACCAGTTAATATTTAATATAAAAAATTTACTTGCACAACTGAGGGCAAATTATTTAAAAGGTAGTCCCAATAACATAATCATTATTTTTAATCTACACAATAAAACCTCCATCATTTTAAATAATACTCTAGTGGCTTTACCTTTGCCAAAATAATGTAATTCCTGAATTATGATTGTCTGACTCTACCAACAAGGTCAACGCACGATTTACTGTATATACAGGTACTTAAGTTGTATCTTTTATCACCAGTTATTGTATAAAATAATAGTGTTTAGCAATGGGGATTCATTTCAGCTGACAAGATTTCCATATTTTGTTGCATATTATCATCATCTTTTTTTTGTATAATATACATTATTAGGGTTTAACAAAAAAATTGTAGTTCAACTAATAAGGTAGATTAGGCAAGGTACATAATACTGTACTTTATCTTTCTTGCACTCCATTATTACATCATTTATTACTTTTAAGTAAATGAACAGAAGGTTATTTATTACCTTCTTAATATTACAAGTTTATTGCATGGAAATTTACTGATTTGTGAGGACCCTTATTTTGCACCACTTCCCACCTTTCGTTCCTCGTCAAATACAAGTCTGACGACATACAGTATACGAACAATGTGCGTCACTAATCTGTCCATTATGATGGCAATCCCACCTAAATGTGAGTTGGAGTGAATTGTGATGTGGCTGCCATTTTAAATTTGGTATGTATCGAGCCCCCACAAAGCCTGCCACCCCACATATCCAGCCCCTCTCATGGACCAGTAATCTGACTGACTCCTCCTTGGGGTCTTCAACACTCCTCCATAATGCTGCTCAACCACAAGTAGTACCCAAATTTGCCCGTATGTAACGCTAAGTAGAAAATCTACTTATCTCGGATGTTTTTATTGTTTTCATTGGACTTTATACGTAAAGTCATGTGTAACGTAACCTGAGGAGTATCTGTATTCTGTACTGTACATATATACATACATACATGCTTACATACACGAGAGGGAATACTAATGTATGTACCATACATAATCTCTAGAGTCTTTGCACTAATTGTCTAAGATGAACAAAATACTTGGGTGTACCTATACCGTAGTGTACAGATGTATATTTTAATATATAGTGAGTTTGTTTTGAATATTAATAATAGTATAGAGTATATATACTTTTTTAGCATAAACATACAGGAGGGTAATACAGTATCATATTTTGATGAATATGTCGCACTTTTTTCCTAAAAGATTTGGTAAAAGCTGGGGTGTGACTTACTATTGGATACAATTTTTTTTTAGCGCCTCAAAAATACCTGTAAATATTACCATTATTCCTTGTGTACTCTAGCACCATCGCGATCTAACCTGTCCCCACTACCATTACTACCTCACCCTTAGTCAAAATTACAATCGGTACCGCCATTAATATCGTCACTGCGTGTCGTCCATCTGCGAGTTGGATTACTAGAATGAAGATCAGTGACCCATACCTACTGTGTCCAAAACCTTAAAAGTAGAAATAGAACATTAAATAATTTACTGATAATAACTTGACCATAATTGTTTTTGTTTTCCTTATTAAAAAGATGTTATTTGTAAGATAAATTTAAGAGGGTAAATGTGTAAATCTCTACATTAGAAGAGGAATACACTATACAGTAGACCCTTGCCATCCACGAATTCCATGTATCCACAGTTTTTACTCTTATGTCATTACACCAACTGCGGCATTTATTTTTTGTATCCACGAATTAACGCAACGTATTTATCCCTGTGCAATCTAATGTTTCCCTTCACGCAGCATCCCATCTCCCACCACTGCTCTCGATACTCTTTAAGTTTCATGATCTCGTAGCGTTCTGGCGTACTTTACTGTTCCACATTTTCTCACTCATTTTATACTGTAATAACATTGATTTTGCCCTTAAACTGTGGCCCCGAAGTGTTCATTGAGTGTTATTGATAAAGGTGAGAAGAGGCAACGATGTAATGACATTAGAAAAGAAAGTTGAAGTGCTTGATAGACCAGTGTGTGGGGAGAGTATAGCATCAGTGGGATGTGGTATGGGCCTCTGCCTCCCTCTTCCTTGTAACAACCTCCTCTCCCTTCACATCATCCTCGTCCACCATCGTCATCAATGTCGTGAAGGGAAATACCCCTGTACTGTAAAATTTATATTACTATTTAATTTTTATTAAGCTATTTTATATGTACAGTATTAGACTCGCATTTAAATAGCTGTACAGTCGGCCACAAGAATAAGTATACAGTACACCTACGGTTCGAGTTTGAGACAAAATATCTGGTAACACTGTCCTGAACAGAACAGACGAAATTACAAAATGTCCTGTAATTTGTTTTATTCCTACATATATGTTATAAATACATTTGGTGTGAATGTTTTACTAGTGTCTTGTGTTTATATTACAAGTAATTATATTGTGTCCAGTGGTATTAAACTTGTTGCCGAATGGGATTGTTGTTATCGTACAGCTACCTCCTTTTTCTCTGACCCTACTTTTTTTTTACTGATGTTTGGATTAGTAAAGGAAGGAAGAGAGCAAATAGAAGAATAAAGAAGGGGAAACAGAAAATGGTTAGAGATAACAGGTGGGGGCAGCTGAGTTTCATCATGCGTCTGGATGCGCAGTTTCAACGTTACCAGACCATTTTTGGACCTTACAGCTACAGTGTGTATATTTATTCCTGTGGCTGATTGTACAATACAGGTACTGTACAGTCAGTTCTGCTACAACGCGATAGTTGTGTTCTTGTAAAACCTCGCGTTGTAGAAATTCGTGCAATAGAAATAACGGCTCATGGAGAAAATGGGGTTAGGTGCAGATTACTCAAAATCGAAAAAAAATTTAGTTTGCCTAACACAAAGGATAGCACAGTCTAAATAAATGTTACATTCATATCTAATAATGAAATCATACAGTAAATGTAACACTTTACCTTGAAAAAATATGAATATAACTTGATGGGGGAGAAGGGTGATTTTGAGGTTGAGGAGTCATGCAGACAGGAGTTGAGAGTTGTCATCATCATCATCAGGTGCAGTTTTGGTTGCATGGTTGGGACGAAAAAAACGTCTAATTCCAGAAGTGGATGGCTGTGGTTCAGTGTCTTCAGACTGCTTCTTGGGGGTTGACTTAAAAAAGACGTCTTAATGTTTGCTGCTTTGCCGTCTTTCTTCTTTCACAAAGAAGCTGTTCATAAGGTGCCAAAAAAGATTAACACCACGAACTGCAATCCTGCTCTTTCCTGCATTGTAGTCATTGTCTTCCAAGAGCTGTAACAAAAGAGAAGTGGGAAGCTCTCGTGGTTTTGCATCCTGGACTTCTTCATTTTCGGCATCTTCTATTTCCCCAGCAGCAACAAGTTGTTGTAGATCAGCTGTAGAGAGGTCTTCACAGTGGGACTCGAGCAGTTCCTCAACATAGCACTTTCCACTTCAGCAAAGCTAACTTGGTTTGCAAGAGAAACACAATTTTCTTTTATTTTTGGGAGCTCCTCTGATGCATCAAAGCCTTTAAAATTATGAATGAAATCTGGGAGAAGCTTCCGCCAAACTCCACTCAAGCAGTCCTTACTTACATCACCCCAGGCCTCCACAATGATGTCACTTGCATGCTTGATGTTGAAACTACCAAAACTGAAGAACACTGGCCTTATCATCTCCTTCCTCAGTAGCTGCAATAAGTTTCTTAAATGTACGCCTCAAATAATAGGCTTTGAAGGCTGCTATTACTCCTTGGTCCATTGGTTGAAGGAGCGATGTTGTATTTGGAGGTAGAAAGAGCAGTTTGATATTGTCAGAAAGCTCAGCAATGGTGGGAGGGCGGCTTGGGGCATTATCTAAAATGAGGAGAATCTTAAAATCGATATTCTTCGTCTTGCAATAACCCCATGCCAAGCAACAGTACACTTAAATGTTCGAGTGGAATCGCGTTACAGCCAACACGTGTTCGCGTTTTACAAATATCGTTCTATTCATCAATCGCGTTATAGCCAATTCGCGTTGACAAAACACGCATTGTAGCAGAAATGACTGTATTGTTTAGTGAAGGAACAGGCAACTTAGTTAGGGATAACAGCAAAGCCTGGAGTGTGAACAAAAGGTTCAAACAGCAGGGCAGTAAACACTTGAGTACAGTACTGTACTCCTTAATAATAGTAAACGAGTTTGTTATAAATGGTTTCAAAGTATAACACCAAATTTGTATGTAAACTATATTTCTAGGAGGGTGTCAACATCTTTATCACTAAACTGAATTAATGCTAAACATATTATATAATAGCAAGTTATGAATTGCACTCTTGAGTCAATGTATACATATTAGTAAATTATTATATAAGATTTCTTCATCTTATAATATATTGCAAATGGCAAGTTCATTATGGCAGTATGGGAGCAAGCCCTAAGTCAGTCAGTCACAACATAAACATGTAGACATCACAGCTCATGACATGCCAGTTGACACTTGGGAGACAGGATGCACATTACTCCCAACACTAAACAACTTTTATGATCCTTTTATCACTATCAGGTTTCCAAAAGAATTCACAGCATACTCTCAGGCGTGACTGATGCGTTCACCAACATTCTTTTTGTCACATCATCGCTAGTGACCACCTTTTTTTCTTACTGGCGCGGTTGCCACATCTACTCCTTTTGTGATGTAGTTGTGTACTTTTCACCACAACTTTATTACCCCAATAAACTGTTCTAATACTGTATGTGCATGTGTACTGTTATGAAAAATTTTGAATATGGATACCTGTACTGTATGATTTTGATCTCCAACTTCACAGGGCGGCTTACATGCTTTATTGCATGAATTCTGTCCAAAACTCACCATTGCAGCTTAGAATTGGGGGTGGCATATGTTCATCAACTATGTTAGTGTGGGAACATTACATACACAGAATGGTGAGCATGTTTATATTTATGGATGAGTTCAGTACTTTTTTTGAAATGTTTTATTTTTAACTAGCAAAATTGTCTGGCTTTGCACAGGTTAAGTATAAACTGTATAACCTTGACTGTCACTGTTTGCCCTCCCTGACATGGGTAAGCAACTCCTGCAATCGCTGTGGCAATGTCTCAGTTGAGGAAGATTTTTAATTCTTGTCCTAACCATCCGTGGTCAATAGTAATACCAAGATGCACAACCTTGTGACCCATGTAATGTGTGTGTGTAAAGTTTCAAGTCTAACTGTGGCTGAGGCAGTACACTCACAGACAGACGACACATTCTTTTATTATTAGTGGTACTGTATAGATATTTTTTATGAATATTTGAAATGTTTTGTTTAATAATTAATTATTTTTTGTTATTGGGTAATTGTTGTTTGATTGTCACGAAATAGTGAAAGAAATGGGTCTGGGGAGTTCTGTTTAGGCAACCTGTTTTGTAAGTTAATATGCCATTATTTGTAAAAGGTCGAAATTTGAGGTTAGGAATTCCAGAAAATAATCAAATTATGACATATTGCAAATTATGGAAGTTTTAGTGTATCTTACCTAATATTAGTTACAAATTTGAGTAATCAGTGTGGTATATGTGTAGTGTGGTGTAACTGTTAGTCAAAACCTGTAATACATCCAACTTTAGTCCGACTTGCTCTATGCCACCTGTTGATATTTGGCTATTATGAAGAATACAGTATATAAGTTTCAAATAAATCCTACAAAACACAAAAGTAAAATATTTTAGGTTGAAATAATCGTCATGAGTTTACTCACCTATAATCCTGAAATGAAGTCAACATTTAGAGAAATATACAGTATAGTTAAAATCATGTACCGTATTTACTTTATCAGTGAACAAACTACAGCTTACTGGCCAGATCCAGCCATGGCAATATTACCTATTCCCAATTAAACAATACTTTGATTTGTAACTAAATTGACTCTTTTTGATTCTAGAAAACTTAAAAGAAAATGATAAGAATTACATAAATTTTAGCTTTAACTCATGCCATGCTAATGGTCAATGTTATTACAAAAGTTTATACTATTCGTATACAGTACTGTATATATTTTAAGAAATTTTAATTTAATGGTTTGTTATAGAAAATCTATTTCATCTAAGACCATATACAGTATACATACATGAGAGTAAATACATTTTAAGGGTGAAGAATAGATCATGCTGGTCTGTACAGTATAGTACAGTGTATATTATTAGAGCATGACACTTCACATAGTGTTTAATGCTTAACCACTCTACTGTATACTGATGGGACCCACTTTCATTGTATACATGGAGTTGTAGACTTTTCACAGTGGCTGATGGGGCTTTGGGGAAATACTCGTACTATTTTGCAAAATTCACTCTTTTTGCAATGGGCTTTGTGCCAAGTACTATATTGCAAAATATAGTGGAGTCTTGATAATTTGCAAGTTAAGTACCGCAAGACATTGTGAATTATATTTTAATTTATTTAAATAATCTGTATAAAATTGCAGTAGTTTGCTTTGAGGCCAAGAAATACCCATAAACTGTTCTAAAACTGCTTTAATTATTTTGTGTGGGTAACACTA